GAGAGGGATATTTTAGCTGGTAGGGTTAGTGCACTCCTTAAAGCCCAGTACTCAGCAGGCAGAGGCAGGCAGAACTTGGAGGCCAGCCTGGTCTATAGAGCAAATTTGAAGACAGCCTGGACCACACAGTGAAAATCTGCCTCGACAAACCACAAGGGGGGTTGGGAAGGGAGTGAGGGACAGAAGGAGAGGGGGGGGGGGGGGGGGGGAGGGGCGGAAGGAGAGGGGGGGAGGGGGAGGGAGAGAGGGAGAGGGACAGAGGGAGAGGGAGAGAGAAGGGAAAGGAGAGAGGGAGAGAGGGTGAGGGAGCATGACACATCCTAGTATGTGCTATACCACTAATTGTGTGGTGGTTGACGCCTGGTTACTTAGAAGACTGAGCAGGAGGACTGTCATGTTTGGGGTCAGCCTGAACTTAATGAATTTTCAGGTTGGCCTATGGAGTAAGGATCTGCCTCAAAAACAAACAAACAAACAAACAAACAAACAAACAAACCACACAAGAATAATAATAAAAAAAATCTATAAGCGGGCTGGAGAGAAGGCTCAGGGGTTAAGACTGACTACTCTTCCAGAGGTCCTGAGTTCAAGTCCCAGCAACCACATGGTGGCTCACAACCATCCATAATAGGATCCAATGCCCTCTTCTGGTGTGTCTGAAGACAGCTACAGTGAACTCATATACAATAAATAAATAAATAAATAAATAAATAAATAAAATCTTTGAAAAATAATTTACTTCATTATTTTTTTTTAAAAAAATACTATAAGCAATCAAGCAACAACTACTACTCCCAGTCTGATACCATAGGCTTATAAACCCAGATACTCTGGTAGTTGAGAGAAAGTTCAAGGCTAGCCTGGGCAATTTAGTGAGACTCTATGTGAAAATTTAAAACAAATTAGGAAAAGAGGAATGAGAATGTAGCTCCTTGGTGGAGTGCTTTGCCTAGCATGCACAATGACTCCATTCCTAGTACCAGCACAGGGCACATACATACAGTCCCAAAACCAGAAGTCTAAAACAAATCAAAAATGTCATCAACTGAGCACTAGCAATACATGTTACCAGCTCGAGCAAGAGACTGACTTCATAAGGAAAGTTATTATTTATGGTAATATGAATTTTTGGTATAATACTGTTAAATAAGTAAAACTAGTAGTTTTAAATTATTATTTTATATATTTAATACCAAATTACATATTATTTTCTATAATTATACACATATTTCTTATATGTATGGGTATTTTGCCTGCATGCATACCTGGTGCTCATGGAGGCCAGAATAGGGCACTAGAGCTCCCAGGACTGGAGTTATAGATGATTGTGAGCTGTTATGTGGGTTCTGTGACTCAAATCCAGGTCCTTTAGAAATGCAGCCAGTCATCTTAACTAGGGAAACATCTTTCCAGATTCATTAGTAGATTTTCAAACAAAAAGTTCAAGAAATTATTTTGTTTTTCAAGACAGGGTTTCTCCGTGTAGCCCTGGTTATCTTGGAACTTGCTTTGTAGATCAGGCTGGCCTCATACTCAAGTATCTGCCTACCTTTCTCCCAAGTGCTAGAATTAAAGGTATGTGTTACCACATCTGTCTAATTTTTTACTAATTTCTTTGTCCAATAACTCTGATTTGCTTGTACAACATATAATTATTGCATACAATGTTGTCAGATACAGACTACCCTGATGGTTTAATGGTAGATGCAAAAATAATATGCATTCAGTAGAAATGATGAATTTTGATCTTTTCTTGGTTTAGTGACATGTAGTATATTGTTTTGCTAAGCTGGGGAGTGACGGTAAAGCCCATGTCTTTCCATCAGTCAGTGATGATGAAGGGAAACAACCAATTCTCTCTCAATACTCTTCTGCATTGCTAAGTTATGCTGCTTTTTAGGGTAGGTGTATTAAATATGCTTTCAATTTAATGATATTTTCAGTTTATAGAATGGGTTTATGGCTTAAATCAAAGAGCATCTGTATAACTTCTAACGAATTATCTATTTTCACTAACATTAAACCACTTAGTAATGGTTGAATATAATGTACTTGTTGGCTGGGCGGTGGTGGTGCACGCCTTTAATCCCAGCACTTGGGAGGCAGAGGCAGGTGGATTTTTTAGTTCGAGGCCAGCCTGGTCTACAGAGTGAGTTCCAGGACAGCCAAGGCTATACAGAGAAACCCTGTCTTGAAAAAAAACAAAAACAAAAACAAAATAAATATGTACTTGTTATTAAAAGGTAGGTTCTTAGAATAGTGTGAGAATTGCTAGGAGAGGAATAATACTTGGCAAGAAGCTCCTCAACTTTTTTTTTGTTTGTTTGTTTTTCAAGACAGGGTTTCTCTGTATAGTCCTGGCTGTCCTGGAACTCACTCTGTAGACGAGGCTGGCCTGGAACTCAGAAATCCGCCTGTCTCAGCCTCCCAAGTACTGGGATCAAAGGTGTGGGCCACCACTGCCCGGCGACTTTTTTTTTTCTAAGACAGTTTCATTTTGTAGCCAAGCTGCCATTGAACTCTCCCCCTTCCTGCCTTGACTACTTTGCTACTGCTTTGCTACTGCTAGGATTATACCGAGGGGCTACCACGGCCAGCTTAGCTTCAGTTTTGCATGTTTATAAACTCAAATTAAATGTTTCAGTGTTGAGTGATGTTAGTAATGCAGATACATGCTAAAAAATGTTCACAAAAGACCAATGTGTAAGCCGGAATACCAAATTGTTAATTTATAGAGACAAACATAATTGTTCATGCAGATTTGATTTGAAAATATCAAATTGTTAAATAAGGATTGTTGATACCATAGAATCAAGACAAGGTAGGCATAGTAACCACCAATTATTCACAAACAATTGAACAATATAAATGCATAGTATACTTGTTTGGAATATTTAAAAGGTTTTTCTCCCATTGAGGACTAGAATATTTGCCCCTAGAGACACTGTGGTATTTGTCTTATAGATCCAGTGTTTCTGTGTCTCACATACTGAGTAGTGCTTTAATCTTCACCCCGCCCCCAGCTGCTATGTTTTCTTTTTTTACTTACCTGTCCGATTAAAAGCCTCAAAAAGCATAACTTTGTTTTCTAAAAAAAAAAAAAATGTTTAAAAAAGTATACAAAACCGGGGGCTGGAGAGATGGCTCAGCTGTTAAGAGCACTAACTGCTCTTCCAGAGGTCCTGAGTTCAATTTCCAGCAACCACATGGTGGCTCACAACCATCTGTAAAGGGATCTGATGCCCTCTTCTGGTGTGTGTCTGAAGATAGCTGCAGTGTATTCATATAAATAAAAATAAACAAATATTATTTTTTAAAAAAAGTATACAAAACTGAATGTCTTGGCACACACCTTTAATACCAGTACTAACGAGGCAGAAGCAGGTGAGTATCTGAATTTGAGGCCAGCCTGATCAACATAAGGAGTTCTAGGCCAGCTAGAATATATAGTGAAACTCTGTCTCAAACAAAACAAAACAAACAACTCCCTCCCACACAACCAAAATGTATTTTATCTTTTCATTTAAATTGTGACTCTTGCTGGACCAGAGGTCTTTAAGGAAATTATCTTATTTTCCTTTTTTTGTTTGTTTTCTTTTTGAGACAGGGTCTCAAGCCTTCTCCAACCCTTCAAGTGCTGTGATTAGGGCATAAGTTATCATGCCTGGGAGGAAATTACATTTTTGTTTGTGTTCAAGAAATTAATTTTATTTGTTTTGCTTCTTTTTCAAGACATGGTCTCTATGTAGTTCTAGCTGTCCTGGAACTAGTTCTGTAGACCAGGCTGGCTTTGAAGTCAGAGATCAGCCTGTCCTGCCCCTCCTGCCCCCAACTCCCATCCCTGTGCTGGTATGGCTTGTGCCACCATGCCCTGTTACACTCTTGATTTATAGTTCAGTTTTTAACTATCAGAGTGAAGCAGGGACAACAACCTGATGAGTTACTTGATGATTCTATGAGAGCACTTCCCTGTCCAATGATTATGGCTACCAGGTTAAAAAAAATAGGGTGTTCAACTAAATTCAGAAATACAATTAGTTTTTAGCATAAGCAAGCTCAAAATGTAAATGAAGTATACCTGCACGAACAGGTGTTCACTGTAATTGAAATTCAAATTTAACTAGGTATCTTGTAATTCTATTTGCTGAACCTGACAACTTTGACATTACTTTAACGTGAAGCTATGAAGCTCGTCTAGGTTCAAGCTGCTTGATAAGCATCAATTCACTCGGTTGCTGGAGATAGGAAGCAAAGCCTATTATCTTTACGAACTATTTAGCACAGTTGTAGGTGACAACAAAGACCGAAGAATCCTGACCCTCTGAGGAACCCGTAACTGACTGCCACAATTTCTGCTTTGATCGATTCCCTCCCTCTTCCTTTCTCTTCCAGCAACCAGAAAGAATTGCTTAATCACGTCTTCCTTCTGAAGCCCCGCCCTTTCGGCTACCTCCAATGGAGACTAAGCTGTTACTGAAAAAGAGCCTACGAAAGCGTCCACGTGGAGACGAGAGGAGCGGAAGTAGTCAGATTTCGCTGAGGGCCGTAAAGCGGATAGTGTTTTCTCCTTCCGGATTAACGACAGCAGCTCCGACTGTCAGTGCCGGTCTTCCTCGTGCCGGACCCTTCCTAATTCAATTTCCTTCCCATTCCGGGCCCTTCCCTATCGTCGCCCCTTTCACCTTGGATCATGTTCAAGAAGTAAGGACACGGTGTGGCCTCCATCGGCTGCTCACAAAGGCGGTGGGGGTGGGGGTGGGGAAGAGGGAGAGAGCAAAGGTCCTCTTTCTCTCTCCCCCCGCCCCTGCCATCCTGACTTCCAAAGGTTTTGTAAATATAGTACTATGCTCTCACTCCGGACTTGGAACACTTCTTTTAGCTTTCCATCCTTAATCCTCAATCGGGGTTTGGCTTTCCCGCTCCCATTTTCTTTCTCCTTATCCCTGTTCTGCCCCCTCCAGCAGTGCTATCTCCATTCCTAGGTTTCTACCAATCACATCCTTGCATTGTGATTTAGGGGCACATCCTCCTTAGCTGAGAGGAGAACCCTGCATTCTCTGCCATATGTTTATTAGTTATGAACTGAAAAAGGGAAGGCTTGACTTCCTGGGTCATGGCAGTGAAGGAGTCTGGGTGACAGGAAGCAAGCGGCTGGCCTGTCAAGCCTATTGCTTAGCTGCTAGATTAACCTTGTCTTGAGAACAACGTGCTAGCCCTGTGTGCTAGTCAGTGTAAGGAAGACCAAACTCCTTGGAAACCTATCCAGTGGGTTTATCTTCCAGATTTGATAGACAAAAAAGGAAAAAGGGGGAACATGGGCAAAGGAAGGTGGGTTTTGTGCATGAAAATTTGAGCAAATCTGGACAGGGATCTTAAAATTATCCTATTTCTTAAAAAAAAAATCAACAGACTACATAACCTGCTGGGGCTCATTCGTTTGTTATGCATCGGTTGGTCTTTTGTATTTTAATGTGTGAGGTTTCTTTTAGATTAAAAAATAGATTTCTATTATGGATGGGAGTATTTTTTCCTTTGAGCAGAAATTTTCAGTAAAAGGCATTTTCGTTAGCTGATAACAGATTCTATCATAACAATTGTTCTGCCCCCATTAATTGCAATATGTATGACAGTTTATTGTAACACTGTCTTTAGAACGTTGGTTTTGTATAAGACAAATGGAAATTGGTATTTTAAAAACTATTTCACAATTATTTTAAGCATGAGTACTTGCTTGGGAATAGATGATTAATTAGAACCTTACTTTTAGATATTCTAATTCTTCTGCTTAGCATGCCCTTTTTTTTTTCCTCAAAAAAATCATTTGCCAGATTTGATGAAAAAGAAAATGTGTCCAACTGCATCCAGTTGAAAACCTCGGTTATTAAGGGTATTAAAAATCAATTGCTAGAGCAATTTCCAGGTATTGAACCATGGCTTAATCAAATCATGCCTAAGAAAGATCCTGTGAAAATTGTCCGATGGTAAGTCCTTATTTTTCTCCATGTAAAGATTAGAGTAGCTGAATATCAAAGGTTAGATTGTTTTCATTATAAATGGAATTATTATCAATAGACCAATGATGAGAATAGACAGAATTAACTCTAAAAGTTGTATTTCTATTTGCAAATCATATCTATGTATATGAAAATGTCACTTTGTGTACTGTTTTATCAAAGACTTGTTTTTATTTATAAGTGGATTTATTTCAGTTTGCTCTTGAGATTTATTTTATATTTGACAGTAGAATTACAATAATAAAATATAGAATGAAATTGGCTGTAGCAGGTCATATTTCCTCTCTTTTTTTCTGTACTGGACAGGTATTTTTGGTCAGAATATTTACTGAAAAATAAGCTTAATGTATCTTTGTATGGTATATTTCATGTTATAATTTTTATAGGATGTTTGATTTGCATTCATTTTTGAAAGAAGGTATCTAACTTGGTTCTCTGTGACATTTGTCTTACAGCCATGAACACATAGAAATCCTTACAGTAAATGGAGAATTACTGTTTTTTAGACAAAGAGAAGGGCCTTTTTATCCAACCTTAAGATTACTTCATAAATGTAAGTCTTGGTAGAAATACACATTTTGGAATATAAAAATATACAAAAGGAGTTGAAAACCCATAGGAATGGAAAGTGACTTCTGATTATTATTAGTGCCAAGTAATAAGAAATATAAAGGTAAAGTGGTTCCTCATCTTGTGGTAAGTCTGAAAATTGCAAATTCTCTTATATGTATTAAAGAAAGTACCTCCCCCATACACACAAGGAAGCATTCACTCATCCATTCAATAAAAGCCTGGAATGGTAGCTCACAGATGTAATCACAGACCTTAGATAGCTGAGACAAGAGACTGATACAATTTTGAGGCCAGTCTAGGGTACAGGGTGGTGCCTTTCCCCCAAACAAACAAAGACCCCAGAAATATTAATTCAGTAATTATTTAGTGAACTTTTTATGTGGTAGGCACTGTGCTACTTACTAAGTACAGTTGTAAGCAAAGACAGACATAGTTTCCTGTTCTTATTATAGTTGGAAGAATAGACCAGTATGTATTTGTAAACATATACATAAACCAGAAAGGGCTTGGAACATTTTCATTTAAGTTTGTTACTAGAGTTCTGTAATTATCTCTGCATTGGTTAAATATGGAAATTCTATATATTACTGAGTACATGGACAGATGTCTTGAAACTAAATAATGTTTATTTCATATGTATATTTACAGGTCATTAGTTTGAGATATTACAAAAAGTTGAAGGAAGATATAATTCCAATGAGCAAGAATTTTTCAAATGGAAACAAATAATTCCTTTTCAGTTTGGTATTGTTGCCAAGAAGCAGAAGGAAAGGTAGTGACTTATAGGTGCTACTGATGATGATGAGTACTGGTGATTGAATGAATTTATCTCCTTGTAAAACCTAAAATCATTCAATCACAAGGAGATAAATTTTCAATTGCCTAGTGTTACAGAGGTCAAATTTTTAAGCAGGTGACATACTTTAATATTTATAAAACTAAGTAACTAATTATTCAATTAAGCATTGATTTTTTTTTTCCAGATTAAGACCCGATAGAAATTAAATCCTGTGGGCTGGAGAGATGGCTCAGAGGTTAAACGCACAGGCTGCTCTTCCAGAGGTCCTGAGTTCAATTCCCAGCAACCACATGGTGGCTCACAACCATCTATAGTGAGATCTGGTGCCCTCTTCTGGCCTTCAGGCATACATGCAGGAAGACTGTCATATACATAATAAATAAATTTTTAAATATGTATAAAAAAGAAATTAAATCCTGATGCAATGGGAATAATTTTTTGTTTTGTTGTTCTTTGAGTTTTTTTGTTTGTTTGTTATTGTTCCTTGAGACAGACACTAGGTAGCCAAGGCTGATTTTCTATTTCTAATAATCCTGCTCCTACCTCCCAGGTGCTCGGATTATAAAGTTGTGTTACCATACCTGGCTACTGTCATTATTTTTAGGGACCTTGAAAAGCTTAAACATGGCTGGGCAGTGGTGGCGCACACCTTTAATCCCAGCACTTGGGAGGCAGAGGCAGGTGGATTTCTGAGTTCGAGGCCAGCCTGGTCTACAGAGTGAGTTCCAGGACACCCAGAACTACACAGAGAAACCCTGTCTCGAAAAACAAAACCAAAAAAAAGAAAAAATGAAAAATGAAAAGCTTAAAAACTCTTTCTCTAGGGGCTGGATTGATGGCTTATTGATTAAGAGCACTGACTGTTCTTCCAGAGTTCAATTCCCAGCATCTATATAGTGGCTCACAACTGTCTGACTATAGTCCCATGGGATCCAGTTCCCTCTTCTGGTGCATATACATGCAGACAAAACATTGGTAAAATACATACCTAAATAAATCTCAGAAAAAAATATCAAGCAAACAAAACTTCTCTAGTCATCCTGTGAAAACCTCTAGAGATTCCTTTTTTTTTTTTTAAAGATTTACTTATTTATTTTGTGTATATGAGTACACTGTAGCTGTCTTCAGACACACCAGAAGAAGGCATCGGATCCTATTACAGATGGTTGTGAGCCACCATGGGGTTGCTGGGAATTGAACTCAGGACCTCTGGAAGAGTAGTCAGTGTTCTTAACCTCTGACCCATCTCTCCAGCCCTAGAGATTCTTTAATCATTGGTTTATAAGTTATTGGTATACACACAGGGATACTTTGTTTTAGATTAAAAAAAGAATATATGCACATAAATCTGGGCGACACAGGAATAGGAAACTAATGAGCACATGAATTCCTATAATCAAAGGTAAGTATATTTAATGCATTGGTATACTCTTTTCCACTTTATTTCTTATGTTATATACAAATGCTTTCTGTTTTATTTTGTGCTGGAGATTGAATTCAGGACCCCATGCATGCTAGGTATATATCACTATACTGCTAAGTACAACCTTTTTGTTCTTTTAAAAAAGTGTTTAAAGATTTTGCATTGATAAGTTAATATGCATTTACAGTTAGTGAACCACTGTTTATAACATTATTAGTCATAAAAGTTTTTTATATAATTCTATAGGCATTGCCAGACCCAAAATGTCAAGTGTCTGCCATGTAATACATATAGAATAAATTTACTCCTTTAAATATACCTGTTGGTTTAGCTGGGTCACCCCTCCCCTTTCTCCTAATGACCACTAATCTTTTTTTTTTTTTTTTTGGTTTTTCGAGACAGGGTTTCTCTGTGTAGCCCTGGCTATCCTGGAACTCACTCTGTAGACCAGGATAGCCTCGAACTCTCGAACTCAGAAATCCGCCTGCCTCTGCCTCCCAAGTGCTGGGATTAAAGGCGTGCACCACCACTGCCCAGCGACCACTGATCTTTTTAAGAGTATTTTATTTCTCCTTTTTTCATTCAAATGTTATATTGTAAACATTTTCCAGGCATTAAGTATTTTCTAAAAGCATGGTTTACTATAGTTACATAACTCTTATTGATATATCTTAAGTTGTTTATATCTTATCTCATTTGTTGGACATTGTGATCTATCTCAGTTTATTTCTGTTTTACATGTTAGTGCTGAAACAAATATCTTTTTATCCAATATACTGCATATTCATCCATTTTCTTTAGGATAGACTCATAGAAGTAGAGTTAATGGGTCAAACAGTATATCTTTTTTCAATGCTTTCAATGTATGCTGCTAAGTCATTCTGAAGGAGGCCCATACCCATTTACAAGCCTTGTAGCAGTCTATGATGCTTATTGCTACACTCTTTTCTTGAAAATATTTATCAACTTTGTCAGTAAAGAAGAGTGGTTTGGCTTTTATTTTGCAATCATCAGAGTATTGTAATTTTCGAAAATACTTGTTTGTTGTTTGCCTTTATCTTGAGTCTTCAGTAATATTAATTTATATAATTGATTTCTTCTTTTGTAGATCCTTTTATCTTGCCACATCAGCAGGTTGATAAAGGAGCCATCAAATTTGTACTCAGTGGAGCAAATATCATGTGTCCCGGCTTAACTTCTCCTGGAGCTAAGCTTTATCCTGCTGCAGTAGATACTATTGTTGTATCCTTTCCAGGGTTTAACTGCTGAAAACTGTTGATTGTATTCCTTTCACTACTGAAAGATCTATCATCCAAGAGAATATTACATGTGCTTTTAATTTATATTATTATTTTTTCAGAGACAAGCCAAGGCTAATCTTGAACTTGTGATTCTGATATCCCAGTCTCCCAACTGCTGAGATCAGTCATGTGCTACCACACCGAGTTGAAGGGAACTTTTTAATTTTGGCCAAAGAGAAATAACATAAACTCAAATAAACTAACTGTTTTTTTTCTTTTTCTTTCCATTTTATTTGTTTATTTGAGACAAGTTTTATTATGTAGCCTTGGATGGCCTCAAACTCAGTATGTGGTCGAGGCTGGTTTAAAACATACCACTTATCTGTCCTAAATTGGTCTTGGGTTAAAGGCAATTCTCCCACCTCTGCCTCCTGAATGTTGGGATTATAGGTGTGTATCACCATGCTGGACTAAAGAAGACATACTTTTTCTTGGCCATGAGAAGACGTGAAAGAAACTTGGAAACAAGCAACCTTTTCTTCTTTTGAGAAAGTGTCTCATGTAACCCAGGGTGGCCAAGGATGCTCTAGAACTAACCTTCTTGCCTCTACCTTCCAAGTTCTGTAATTACAGGCATGCGCCACCATGCCTGGCTCCCTTTTTTGTTTGTTTTTTGTTTTTTTCAAGACAGGGTTTCTCTGTTTCATCCTGGCTGTCCTGGAACTCACTCTGTAGACCACACTGGCCTAGAACTCAGAGATCTGCTTGCCTCTGCCTCCTGAGTGCTGGTATTAAAAGACATGTGCCACTACTGCCTGGCCTTGACTCCCTTTTTAAAATCTTTGTTAGCAAGTAAGGTTCTTTTACCATGTTTTACCCATATACAATGTGTTGTAATCTTATTCACGTCTCCTTTTTTTTTTTTTTTTTTTTTTTTTTTTGGCTTTTCGAGACAGGGTTTCTCTGTGTAGCCCTGGCTGTCCTGGAACTCACTCTGTAGACCAGGCTGGCCTCAAACTCAGAAATCCACCTGCCTCTGCCTCCCAAGTGCTGGGATTACAGGCATTGGCCACCACCGCCCGGCTTATTCACTTCTTCTAAGCCCCAGTTATATTCTGGTTTTGTTTTTGGTAATTTTTTTTCTTTTTTCCTTTGTCTTTTGTTTGTTTGTTTGTTTGGTTTGTTTTGTTTTTGAGACACAGTATCACTCTGTAGCCTTGGATGGCCTCAAACTAAGGTCTGACGACTGCCTCTGCCTCCTGAGTCCTGGGTTTAAAGGTATGTGCCATAATACTCATCTATCTTTTCTTTCTTCTTCTTTTTAAATATATATCTCAGT